AAGTTACGCAGCATATTCTTATTGTCATGTCTTTCATTTCGTTTAAAAAGGCTGGTGGAAGAGATTAATAAATTGGCAACACCAGAGATTCCGTGCTGAGAGTTTGTCCGTCAACTCTAAGACTGTGTCGAAGCCAGAAATCATTATAACGAAAAAATTCTCCAAAGCACTAAACCAAAAATGGCTTGACCAATTTTTTCCTTTGACGACGTCTGTCACTGGACAGACGAAATATTGACTTGAATTCATTGATGTAGCAGGATGGTGTGCCTAGGACTTCTTTGCACAACCCAACTGTCTCAACTCTTTCGCTTTCTGGTGAGGCCAATTAAATAATCCCCTCAAATTAATGTTTACTTCAAAAGAACAAGTAGTCACGACGAATTCATAAGGTACTCTTCAGAACCCTGTAGTTTTTCTTTGAATTAATCTACACTCGGAGTGGGTCAGCTTATTAATTGTCACTATAGCTGACAACCTCTAATGTTACAAGCCCTAACTTATAATAATTTTATTTATTTAAGAACTAACAACATTCTATGAAAAATTCCTGGGTTGCACCTGCGACCAACATAAATCTGCTTTCTAGCCCTGCATTAGTTTGTTTGCTATTTTGACATCTGCTTCTCCATCTAGACGAGACAGTCTATACCAAATTACTTCAATACACATCTAGGTTCGAATTGTATCTTAAGCAGTCGCAGCACATTCCGGATGTCAAAGGTTGGGTCATAGAAAATGTATATATTGGCTATTTACCTCTCAGGTAACCATTTGCATACACAGCCACTTTTGAAAACTCAACTTCATCGTTATCTCCTAACTTCATACCTTTTTTACCACAATCTAAACCCAACTTCCCTTTCCATGCTGGGCATCGGATTCTTATTTTGAGAATGAAATTGCCGTTTAATTGCTACCAGACCTCTTACGAGGACTATAAATTGCCCACAAGCCAGAGGGTTCGGATACTACAGAAGTAGTTCCGTCTCAAATTTGTCTTCATACCAAATATGATCCTTCCATTTTAACTCAGTCAACAATCTTTCGCTTGTATCACAATCTGGCCTCTTCATGACCCCATACTTAAAGCCATTGCCACGGCCTCTTCGTTTCTCCTCTGTCGCGAATATGATTGCTTCTTACGTTTCCGTGGACTTTGTCCGATTCAGGAAATTATCATGCATACTATGGACTCAGGACAAGATGCGTTCCTCTAGGTTTTCCTGCCAATATTACCACTTTGTGAAAACAAGGTGAAACAACTATACATCGTAAGGAGACTGCGACTAAAATAGAGGCCACAACATCTTCGTATTCGTATCTCAATATAGTTGAGCCTGAATACATCGTCGTAGCTCATAATCGTTGTTTTACTTTTATTATAATTCACAATAATCTTATCTAGGCCTGGGCAATTTCTTCATTCTACCATATTTTGCTATTCATTGTTTTTTTAAGGATAATTCGGGCTGCTCTCTACCTGTCAATGTGGTCTCCATTTCCGAATCCATCAGCAATCGAACTGGACAATTGATTAATGGTCATGTCGGTTCTGAGCGTCAACTCAACGCAGTTAACACTCAGTTACTGGCCTGCTCTTATCAGCCTTTCTTGGTTGGTCGGCACACAATCCATGTTATGTTCGCTGGCAAGGAGGTATCGAACAGTCCTTTTGAGCTAGACAGTCTACAAACAGGCAATGCTGGCGCATGCCAGCTTAAAGGTGAGCCCACCTTTATCCTATAACTGACTTCATTCACTAACCTTTGAAGCGCACACACACATATATATATATATATCGTGCTTCTATCCATAGTGCCAAGCCTATTACTTCATATGCCCTAGTCACTTCTGTGCCAACCCACAAATGTTATTGTTCAATTTGTTTTGATTAGGTTAAATGTAGAACCACAACATTTGTGGGTTGGCACACAATATACGAGGGCATTGATGCCCAAAATGTGCGCCGCGACGCCCCGGAGAACCGCGGCCACTTTACAGGTGCGCTGCGAAATATTGTAAAAGCTTCAATTTGAGAAAATGTGCAATGATTTGCGGACTCATCCATCACATTAATTATTAAATATTAATTTAACGTTAATAAAGTAAAAAAAATAATGAAGATACAGGAGTTTTATTTATTTTTATCTCTTACTTACGAATAGTCATACTTAGGGTAGGGCGCCATGGAAAAATTTTCATTGAAAAAGGGCGCCGCGACTAGGAAAAGTTTGGGAACCACTAGAATAGGGCATATAGGTCATAAAATTGACTTAATAGAAGCACGATAGATACATCGGAGACTAGAGCTAGTTGTCTAACAGTAGACGTGTTTGGTCATAGATGTGGTTCATGAGGCAAAGGCCTGACCCTGAGATTTAATCGGGTTCTTCAGCCTCAAGATAGTCTCCCAACCAACTTGAAAATCGTGATTTTTGGGGGCCTTCCCAGCGAGGTGGGTGTATGCAGGCCATCAAAGGCAGTGTGGTAAATAACGCTTCGAGTAATACAGATAGAATGACAGGGGTCGACTGGTATACCTGAACAAGGAAGATAGGAGGCAAATCCTACCGAGGAAGAGGGAGACTCTGATAAGGCCTATGGGAAGAGGATTGTGGGGTGAGGGGATAAGAAATCCAGCATGGGGTTTGGAGAGTTCTCAGGAAATCTACTAGAAAGGGCACATCACCATAAATAAGAAATTATGAATGTGAAGGTGTTAAACGAGGATATAGGATTGGTGAATAGCCCAGGGCAGGAGGTACCACGATTTTTCAAAAAACAATTGGTCAAAGGATCGGCTTCACTTCTCTTTGATAAGTTGTAGTGTGGTGTTAAGAATGGAAATACTAACTGACGTTGCCGGCTAAACGTCTGGTAATGTACCACGTCCACGGTCCGACTGGAAATTATCATGCATACTATGGACTCCGGTCTAGATGTGTTCCCTCAGTTTTTCTACTTATATGATCAAGTTTCGAAAATTAGGTAAAACAGCTAATAATATTTCTAGTTTATGTGTGGCTACATGCTT